GAGCAAAAATATGTCCAACAATAAACCAACTGGAACTGCTGACACTGCCCCCCCCCCCGAAAAATCTGAAGTGCTCCCCCGGGGGAAAATCTCTGAAAGAAACATGCCCCTAACTAGCTGGCGCCCGGGGACATCTGCCCCCCTCGCTACGCCTCTGGATAGAGCTGCTCTGCGAGTTCTAAAATATTTTTTTTAAAGCCACTGACTAAATCTTACACCTCTAGTTTTCTCTCTTCACAATCGCCGCGGTTCAGACGAACACACGATTGCTAGCAGTAGCAGTCCAAGGAGGTGGTGAGTGAAGTTGTTGCCAGGCGACTACCCTAAAGATTGCTGTTGACACAGCTAGCTGGTTCACTGTGACACGCAAAGCAACACTAAGACAATCACCACCATCAATAGGATGCGTGGCGGTGATATTTTTATATCTTTTGAAACTTCCACCTATCCCACCTCCCACCCGTGTTTCTGGTATGCCACCAATCTCTGTAATCAACAACCCCCACCTCCCCTTTCAGTGCGTACATAATATAATGAAGGATGGTCCCAACTATAAAAACAATATACAAAAACCCATCGTTGTTCTGGGTCCATTCAATGTGGGGCCATAAGGACTAAAGCTTCCACAACCGAACATTTTTAATGTTTTTTTGAAATCGGAAAAAATTACACAAATATTTTTTCACCGGGTCTCCGAAAATCGTAGTTTTGGCGGGTCTCGGCGTACAATCGTAAAAGACATCTAAAAATCATACATTGTACGCCAAAATCGTAAGAGTAAACAGGTCTGCTACACGTCCGGCGGGCGGACGTATATCTCCTGCAGTATTTGTCCGGCGACCAAGTCACATGACCGCCGGAAGAATACTTTATCCAGATATTCGTCCGGCGACCAAGTCACATGATCGCCGTAACAAAGTGGCGAGAGATATTTTGTCCATCAGCCTTGTCACGTTACAGCGAATGATTCAAAACTATGGTTAATTTTTAAAATCTATTTCTCTACCAAGTAATGTACTATCTTGCATGCAAATAATAGAAAAAAAACTTAAGTGAAAGTGGCTTGTAAACATTTTTGTTTAGTTTGTTATTTGAGTTTGTGTACCAGTAATCCATAAAATAAATTAGGGGCCAGTATTCAGTATGGAGTAGGCAACCAATAAATGTAAAAGATTTTATTTTAAATTGTTTAAATTGCTACAAAATATTTTAAAACGTCTCATAAAACTACTTTTGCTGATTAACATGATAATATAGATTAAATATAATTTCAAATATTTTTAATTAAAATGGGGAAAAAAAAAGGTTCCCGTACGGGGAATTGATCCACAAATATAATATCGTCAAGCGGCCACTCTACCGCAAGACCACACACGATCTTCTCAATAGGCACTTCCTTCGGAATAATAATGCCTACTAGTCGTCCGGCGGTCACTTGACATGTTCGCCGGACGTATATCTCCAACACTATTTGTCCGGCGCGCCGGATGTGCAGACACTTCGTTTTTTATATTATTTGTTTGCAAGATACTCAGAAAATTACTTGGTAGAGAAATAGATTTTAAAATTAACAATAGTTGTGAATCATTCACGGCCTTGTGACAAGGCTGATGGATAAATATCTCCCGCCACTTTGTTACAGCAGTCACGTGACTTGGTCGTCAGACGAATATCTTGATAAAGTATTCTTCCGACAGTCATGTGACTTTGTCGCCGGACAAATAGTGAGGGAGCTATACGTCAGGCGCGCCGGACGTGTAAACAGTGCCTTTTTTTATTGGTTTAAAACAAAGTACCAGTATGCTATTCATTTTTATGTCACAATTTAACTGGACATTTCAACATAATTTCCGGGGTGGGGAGACCCCTCCCCTAATTACATTACAAAAATAAGAATCAAAATAATTCCTGGAGAGGGCCCAGAGCCAGAACCCATCACCCTTTTTTCAAGACAAAAATTACAAATGAGAAGGAAAAAAAAACTATCCAATAAATATAGAACTAAATTACTAAATCTTTTGAAAAGCAGAAATATGATTTACTATGGCCAGAAGTTGACCTGGGGAACCTCCATGATATATATGAATAGTGGAAGACATCACCGGCCCTGCCCCTGCTGCTGCCAACCTCTAACTGCATTTTAGCCCTTCAGCCTATCACTATCATGAATCATATTAATAGATACTTTGTTCAAAAATTTAAACATTTTGTAAAAATAAACCAATGGTATAGTTGAATGGAGCTAAATTTGTACAGAATTATAACACCAAAATTATATTTTTAGCTGTTGTAGTTTTAAAGTTATGAATTTTTAAAGTACGACTTGGTTTGTCCTTTTTTAACATGGACTGCATCTCCACATTCTGTGACCTCATTCCGCCGATCACGTCATGCGCAATGACTATATAGTTTATATAAGGCTAAGACATTTCCTTATCACTAAAATACTGTTTAGGGTCGATTTATTTTAAACTTTCAACTTTGGCACATGAATAATTAATTAAAGCTTTCCCTGACCAATGGTTTAATAGTTTTTGCACACGGCAAACACTTATGAATGAAACTCTGAGATAGTACTACGATATAGCCGTTATGCAAGTGGCTGTGAATGGTTGCCAATGACAACGTGTTGCACACGGAAATTTCTGATCATTTATAATATGGACTCTACAGGGTTTTTAAAGCTCAAATTAAAACATTCCAGTTTAAATGTCTTCAAAATGCATTCTGAAACACAAGTTATCAAATATTTTGATGTATATAGTGGTAATAATTAAATATTTCTTAAGTATCGGCAACTTCCGCCATTAAAAAGGGGGCGTGGCCCACGCCATGTCGAAATAAGGCGGAGCCCCCTTATGGTGATATGGGTCACTGGGAGAAGCGTAGCGAACGTGGGACACGACCTACATCAATGAGAATTGGCACAGATATATATCAATATCTAATGCCTTACACGATTTAATATGAAAGACCTGTTCCTTTTATTTCACAAAAAATTTTGTATTTGAAGATGCCTTATATATACCAAAGATTTTCAAAATGAAGTTCGATTGAAAAAAGCAAAATAGTTGGATGGAAATGTAGGCCAAGATGTCTTCCAAATTATAAGGCCGGAAACGGAACTCAAATATATGTCCAAATAACTAATTTAATAATAAATAGACACACACATCGGAAAATTAAAAACTCGGATTTTTCGGCGCCGACGCCCATTTCCGATACAAAAAAAGTAGTAGTCTCCCTTGTTTTATCGAAGTATCTAATATTAATATTTTTGATATATTATAGTATATATTATATAGCCTAACTGTTCTTTATTTATGACTAGTTAATACTTTACAGTTTAGGCTACAAGACTTTCTACTAGATACTAATTGCTTATTACTAGTGAGAGTGCAGTTAAGTAGAGATTAAAATTGAATTTAATATTATTTAATTTACTGCTTAATTGGAGTTATTATAGTATTCAATGATATTTTTATTTATTACTGCGACTCGTGACTACCTGACAGCGGCAACACAGATCAGCGTCTACAGCAAGCATGTCAACGATTTTGCCTTTTCCTTCGTCCCCCCATTGTGTTCCCAGGACAACTGTAACAGGGCGCTTCACCTCTAATCGCTTAATTTTAGCCGGTATCTCCCCATTTTCATTATTACTCGCCATTCTAGTTAAAGCAATAGAGCTTATTCAATACTGACGGACTCCATACATTGAATAAGGCATGACCTTTAGCTTCCGGTTTTTATTTTCGCATTTATTAACTCATTGAATCTAAGTCTGTATTTAATTTTTGAAAAAATGTAATAAATTCTGAAAAATTCCACCCCTGTAAACAATTAAATAATTTATGCGAAACTAAACAATTCCACGAAAAATCAAACTCAATCAGCTGTTGCTAGGTTAACATTCCGAAAAGCGTCATAATGGCGGAAAGACAAAGTAAACCAGCTAGTGCTGTCAGTCTTAGTGTTTCCAGTTCACAAGAGTATGTAAAGCCATTTGAAGATCCATATAGCAAAGCAATTAGCTATTTGGAGAAGCATAATATTTTACAATTATTTCAGGTAATTTCTTTCATCGAATATTTTTTTAAAGGTTTCTTAAAAAAAAAAAATTATAGTAGACGCAGACCTATTAAGTATTATTTAATTTAAAATAGTCCTAATAATACCCTTTTTTGTTTTCTATTAATGAATGATAGAAAGTCACAATGACTGAGTGACTAGTAATTAGTTCATCCGGCACTCCTCAGAATGGTGGTCCCAAAATAAAAATTGAATACTTACTTTTCATTAGAATATTTAGAATGAGAAAGTGAAAGAGTCTAGTTACCAGCCTTTTACTAGCCGCCAATAATTGGTGACATAATTTTTGACTTCAAATTTTGTTTGCAGACTAATTATTGCTAGTAATAATATAAAATAAACAATATCACATTTCAAATAATGTTTTGTCAGGAAACATTCTACTAATGTATGACACAAAGTAAGGACCTCAGTATCGACCAGAAAAACGGGTATCCTATTTTCGTTGTCATAATGGCGACCTCTATTTTTTAATTTACTGAGGGTAACGTTGTTTCGCGTTTCATAATCGATTTTTAGCATAATAATATAATTTTACTTCCGCCAATTACTTAAAGCCGACATCTTTCCTGTTATATTAAGAGTTCGTTTGATTTTTTGGGTCAAGATTAAAGCTTTGAAAATTGAAGTTAAAAATTGGTCAACTTCACTCAAGAATAACTTTTTTTTAAAAATGCGCTCAATATTAAAAAAAACTCCACTCATATAATTTATAGGTTCATTTACAACATATCCAAAATTCATGAGTGTAGACCATGGGTGGGCTTCAAAAACGAATTTCCAAGATGTCATTTTTTAAGGCTATGTAATTTGCCATCATGGCCACCGTGCTTGTCTGCTTATTTCCAATTATCGATAGCAGCCGTGGGGTAATTAATAATTCATTAAGTTGGTTATCCAAAGTGTAAATGGGAAATGTAACTAATAATAAATCATTTTATATAAATAAAAAATATTTTATAACATAAATAATTATTATTGGCTTATTGAATATCAGTGATTTTAATTTTTGGGTTGGTTGCCATGGACCTGGCTGACACTGACATGGGAATGATAAGCTGTTGTCTTTGACTTAGATAGTGATAGGCTTAGTTGAAGTATTATAATAGTATTTATACTATTATAAATGATTTAAGGAGTGGGATAAATAGTTTTTATTACAACTAATATATTTATCATTTATATTAGTTTATATATTTATAGATAAATATTTATTTGTATATATATATAATGACCATTAGGCTTAGGCTATAGGCCTTGTATACATATAATATAGTATAATACAAAGTATACTATATCAGGGTTAAGGCCTAGACCCAACCCAACTAATTTGTAGGGCCTATTATAATAAATTATATTTATCGATATTTTAGGATATCTAATAAAATTTAATGAATATTGTGATTCTTACTTAAGGCATAAACTAAGTAAAACATTTTGAAATATTCACTTACCTTTGATATTGAAATATCCTATATTTAATCACATATCACAATATTCCACAAGAGAATTATTATATAATCCTCGGTTTCTCAAAGAAAAAACACACTTTCTGGCACTACAATCCAAGAATTACTTAAGATATTATTAAAGAACAATCATAAAAACCTGTACTTACCTCTAGTAAATGACTAGAACTTATTTTATTAACAGCTAAAGTCAAAGTTGATTCTAATAATACATGTTGATTTGTAAAACAAGATTACAAACTTAAAATAAATGACATGCTGATTGTTTTGTCATACTCATAGGAATAATATAATATATAGTATACATATGTAGAAAATGTTAAAATAAAAAGTGTAATTGTCAATTTTTAATAAATAAAACAAATAATCCCTTTATTATTTGTTTATGCTTATAAATGCTAAAAAATTCCACAGAAAATCTGCAATTAATATCTAAAGAATATTATTATTATTATGATTTTTGGGAAATTAAAACAAAATTTTAATTAATTAAATTACAAATAAGTGATGAGTCAGCATTTTTATACATTTTTAATAGGCAAATAATAACGTGTTTTTTAAAAAATATTTGCAGCACATAACAAAAACTAACATATATTTTGTGGCTTTATTTAGAAGTACTCTTATTTAACTATGTTCCCTGTAAATATTATATTTTTGTCTCATTTTATAATAAAGTTATAGGCGTTAAAAAAAAAGCAAAATGAGGGTCACAAAATGTTGAGGAAAATCCCATAGTAAAAAAGTGGTTTTGAGGTCCCTACTAAAAAATTCATAACTTTTGAACCACTTGAGCTAGAAAGTTGATCTTGGTGTTTTTGTAATCTATTCTCCAGGCTCTATACAGCTGTAGTATTTTTATATTTTTAAAAATGTTTTGAAATTTTCATCAAAGTGGCTACACAAAGCCAAAAGCATTGTATGGTTTGGGTAGTGTGACAATTTTCAACAGTACAATGATAACTTTTCTTTATTTTTATTCTTCTTTAAACCAAAATTTTAAAAATTTTCTTTCTGGAAATGGTGATGATGAAGAGGCTGATGAAGATCATGATCTTCATAAAAAGAAAGCATACATTTAAATAGAGCATTAGACTTAAACAAATAGGCCTATGTCACCAATTATCGGCGGCTATTAGGCTGGTAGCAGGACACTTTCTAATCAATAGTATTCTATTTTTTATTTGGGACCGCCGTTCTGTGGAGTGCCACTCATCCTATAAATGTACTATATTACTACTAAGATTAGGCTAAGTATTATAGTGACTATAGACTATAATTATAGTAGTGTATAGAAATATTGAATTTATTTTCAAAGTAACAAAGTCAAAAATTCAAGATAAATGGTATGTCAACACCAAGACAGAGGCATAGGAGGCATCTGACCCATTCATTCTTTAGGCTTAGGCATATAACTATAGGATGAAGCATAATTGCTAAAAAAGAAGTATATCTAATAAGAGAGCCTAAACAGGAGATCAATAAAATGAACCCACTTCAAAAGTCTGTATGCTTAGACTTAAAGAAGCAGAGAATATCTTCTAATGTTGACATATTAAAGAAACTAAATTTATTGAAATTGTTCCAGTTTAACATTTTAAAATATAATTATACTTTATATAATCAATTAAATATTTTTTTTAGGATATTTTACTATATTGCTACTGCCTTAAAACTACACTATATTAAATTTTAAGATGCTGAAGTGTTGTTAATAGCAAAAGCTGTCCATTTTGTTTTGTCATTCACTATCAATTTTATTATAAGTTATTACTATAAAGCAATTTTTCTCAAAGTGGGGTCTTTTGCCTCAAGGGGGAAAATGGGACTGCTGGGGGGTGGTTAAAAATGTTCCATAGTCTTTAGTGGGAGGTAGGATTACTTAAAGGGGTGCTGGTGAATTTAGCCATCAATCCATCCCTTTGGTGTTACAGCCCATGTAGTGCTTTGGCTGCCTCACCACTTCCTTCAACTTGGACCTAATGCTTTTGTTTTCTATGCTTGGATTCCCAGCTGCTGTAGATCTTTTTCCACTTCATCCATACACCCAGTGGCGTAGCGAGGGTGTTTGGCGCCCGGGGACAAGATCCATTTTAAAGCGCCCCCTTTTCTTTTTTTCAACTCTCTAACTCATTATTTTTACCAATAATATAATATCAAATCACATTTTGGCGCCCCTAACTAGCTTGCGCCCGGGGAATCTGTCCCCATCCCCCCGCCATCACTACGCCTCTGCATACACCTAAGCCGAGGTCTGCCTTTGAGCCATTTTCCTCTGAGGTTTTGGTGGTGCACCCTCTTCACTCTTATGTTATTTGGCATTTTCTTTAAGTGTCCTGCCCAGCATAGCCTGCCCTTTTTTATTTCTGCTACTAGCATGGGATCCTTATATAGACTAAACAATTCCTGGTGTGTTCATATTCTCCATCCAAATTCATGCTTTGTTGGTCCATATATTTTCTGGAGAACTTTTCTCTCCCATGTATTTAACAAGTTTGCTGCCGTTTTTGTTAGGGTTCGAGTTTCATTTGCGTATGTTACAACCGGTCTGATTACATTTTTATATATAGTTTTCTTTGTTTTTCTTGTAATGTTTTTACTTTTGATTATTTTCTGACTACTGAAGGATGCCCTGTTTCTGGCCCAAACTCTTTCTTTTATTTATGTTAGTAATTCATTTCTTTCTTTTATTAAGAATCCTAGGTATTTGAATTGATTTACTTTTTCAAAAGTGTCGTTTCTAATTTTAATGGTTTCATCTGTCTGTTCTTCTCTTATCATAGTCATGTATCTTGTTTTTTTGGCTGTTAACTTCCAGCCCTGCCTGTAGTGATGCGTCTTCTAATTCAATAAAGGCTTTTGATATGTCTTTACTACTTTTCCCTAACAGAGCTATGTCATCAGCATATGCAAGATACTGAAGGGGTTGACTGTAGATTGTCTGTGGGTCTTGGGTCTCTCTCAGAAAGTATCCTGGTATTGTTCCTCAGCTTGTCAATAATTGTCAATATGTATGTTTCCTATAACTCTCTCTATGTTAGGTTAAATAGCATACAAGACAGTGAGTCTCTTTGTCCTAGGACTCATCTAATCTGAAATTTCCTTGAACATTCTCCTTGAACCTTGATTTTTTCTTTTTGAGTTGTTTAATGTAATATGCATCAGTCTTGTCAGTTTGTTGGGTATACCAAAGTCCTGCAGAGTCTCATATAGATATTTACTTTTGATGCTGTCATAGGCAATTTTATATTCCACATAAAGTTGATGTACTGGGATATTATATTCATAACATTTCTCTAATATGCATCTGATGGTGAAAATCTGATCAGTTGTTGATCTGTTTTGTCTGAATCCACATTGGTAGTCACCTATTTAGCTACTTATTTAGCTATGCTAACTTTTAAAAATCAGATTATTATAATTTTTTAAATTAATAAATAAACACAATTTGATCAACATTAGACACAGCAATAACAAAAAGTGTTTAATTATCAGGGAGGGGATACAGAAATAAAACAAGTGGAATCTAACTCTTATTATTTCTATTATGTTTTAGTTTCATAAATGTTATTGTAATGCTTGATTCAGGTGTCAAATAAACAATGATTATATAAGAGATTAAATAAAAAAACTGATAGTGCATAGTTTTAATCTAAATTTTATGGAGAAATGGTTCAGCTAGATCTAACAATGAATTTCACTTGTTATTCATATCAAAATATCTAAAGCTAACTGTTTAAAAAAAAAAAAATTAAACTAAACTTAATTACAAGCTACCGGGTATTTATTTTAAAAACTTCAATGTATTCCAATTGATTATGTTATGTATAAAAATAAGAATTAATAAGAATCAATTGAAAAACACTTAGAAAAGCTTTTGTTGATAATATTGTAACTATGTGATACTATTTTTTTTATTATCATTTCACAGCATCTGGTGAGGGAGAATCAATAGAAATAAGGAAATCATTTCATTAAATTAAAAAAATATATATATTAAATAACATTCTGAATAAAATGGCAGAAACAGAAATAAAAAATGTATACAATTTACAATATACTTTGGAATGTCTTAGGTATGGATTTATACAAGCATAAACAAACAAGCAGATGCCATTGTGACTGATATGCCAAAAGCAGTTGCATAGCTAGGTTTAGTGCCAACAGTGCCTAGCATAGATGGTTAGCGTGAAAAATTTCAAAATTTATTGCGAAATCTGGAAAGCCCATGCCATTGGTGAAGAATTCATCCTACCAGCAATTAGGGAATTTCTGACTGCTGTTTAGCATAAGTCACCACATGATATAATTGAGATGATTGCTGTCAGTAACAGTTCAATGAAAAGGTGTGTAGATGAAATGGCTGAGGATATTGAATATAAATTGTGTAGCATACTAAAGTTAACAGAATTTGCATTTCCTCTAGTTGAGTCAAATTCGCCAGGCAATTAACTAATTATAAGAGTGTTGGAATATGATAAGGCTTTCAATTAGATTAATGAGACACAAATACTTTGTGTAAATAAAACAATATAGGTTAAGCTTGAATAATGGTTACAAAGAATAAAAATGGAAATGTTTTGGTAGATGCCTTCTTCATTACACAGTACAACAAAACACATTCATACTTCAAAAGTTGTGGATGTGGTGTGGTATCGGTAGGTCGAGATAATCAACTTTATTTTTAAAATGTCCAAGCATATGTAACTCATTTTCATTTTATGATATTATAATTTTCCTTAAAGGCTGGTGAAAAACTACTAAGCTGAACATTATTTTAACGGGTTAAGATGAGATGAGTGGGGGGGGGGTAGGGATGTGTTTATGTCCCCAAGGGTGTGGTGGACGAGATTTTTTATTGAGAACCACTGGTATAAAGTACAATTAAACTTCTTAGTTGGTTCAAGTTTTCTATATTTATTATGGCACCTGAAGAAGACATTTAGCAAAAACATTCCTTACTTTGTTTTTTTTTAATGTCAAATGAAGCTCACCAGTAGTTCACCCCACTTGGTTACAGAAGCTGTCCCTACTTGGTTATAGTAACTCACCCTACTTGGTTACAGTGTAATTTAATAAGGGGAGTATTGCGATCAGGTTTAGCAATAGGAAATATAAAACAAAGGGTTGGGGGAAAACCTGAAAAAAATCTAATAATCTTTTCTTTTTCAAGTTTTCTCTTGACACAAATAAAATAAATTCCTTAAAATTTTATCATTCTTTATTTGTACTGTTTTTGTTTGCTGACGAAGGCATTTTGCAAACACATTAATTTTTTTGTTTTATCTGCTTTCAGGTTTTTTACTACCCTGTGTTTTATATTTCCTTCAAAATATGAAAAATACAGTTCATAAATTTAATGAGTAATTAATAAAAAAAAATATTGCTCTTTTCCAGACTTTAACTACTGATGTAATATATGACAAACCCAGTGATCCCCTTGACTATCTCATCAAGGAAGTGCAGCAAATAAAACAGCAAAAAGAGAAGAGACAAGAAAATTAGAGCTCCTTTTTATGCTTGGGAGAAAACAAGCAATTTTCAGTAGTACATTTTTTATTTATTCAGGGATAATTTGGAATTGTTTTATTTGTAGTTCATATTGGTGATTTTGTATGTTTTAAAATTTCACCAAGTAATGCTAAAACTAACATACCTAAAGTATTGATTTGTGCCTAAACCTTCTAAATACAAAAGTATAAAAGGACAAAAGAATATAATGCCTTAGTTTATTTGACAATGTATTATAACAACGTTTACTGTAAATTTTTTTAATGTGAATATGTGTTTGTCAAGATTAGTGTACCAATCTTCTCAGCATATTATTTATTTTCATTGTTTTACATTGACAATTTTAAACTTGTACAAATTAGCATCATGCTTGTAATTATGAATACGTTTTATAGTGTGATTCTCTTTGCATTTATTAATAAGTATTACTAGACATTAAACAAATGAACACAATCTTTTTTGTTTTGACTTACATTAACATGTTCATGTAATTTTTAATTGAAAATCATCAATATATTATCTTGCATTAATATTTATTAAATTCCTTAACAAACCACAGGTGCATAAATAAATAAGGATTTAACTTGTTTTTGTAATATTAAATACATTGAGTAAGAGTAAACAATATTTTTATTTTAACATTTAATTTTAATAACAATTTAGAGACAACTTTGAAGATTAAAGCTGTTTATTGGTATAAATCTTTATTGTAAAAATGTGATACTTGTCATTACTATAATATATATTCTCTCATTGAGCAATAATAAAATTATTACTGTTCCTCTACATTGGAATGGATAGTAAAGAGATTTTTAACAACACAACTAAAAAACCACAAAAGATATTTTCAAACTGGATGATTTTATCCTATTTAATTTGAAGAAGAAAAAAAATTCTATTTACAGGAGATACAATGAAATTACATTTAAATTTAAAGTTTAATTTTTTTCAGATGCGTTGTGCTTAATTTGGTATAAATATAAAGTATACCAAATGGCTTATATTTTAAAACATAAAATAACATAAGTAAAACACTACCGATATTAACATTTAATTTTAATAGATGTACATCAGATTCTTTCTCAAAATTACATTCTTTAGATGTAAAACTTAACCATATGTTTATTACAAAGCATATACACCAGAAATTTAACCAAGAATACTAAGACTATATTTTAATCAAATGCTTTCAACAATATGGAGGAGAATAAAAATTAATCTGTTAAAGAAATATGTACCATAACCTACAGTAATTATATCACATGCAGCACATTGAAAATTGTCCTATAAATAAATATTAAAATTCTCAGAGAATATTACAGTATGGTAATCAGTATGGTAGTACTTCATTTAACTTAATATTTAACTTTGAATTTTGATTTCATTTTATACTCATATACTCGATACAGAGTGCAATTAAAACCACATTTTTAGAAGACATCACTTATGCATGTTCTAAAGCTAAGTTTCATGACCAGGGTTTCACCCTGCCTTCACACTAATCCTTGACATAAATTAAGTCTGTGTAACATGGTTAAATTGGTATCAAATATAAATATAGCATAAATAAATAATTTCACACCTAGATAAAGTTGAATAATGAGGTGTTTTGTTGACAATGATTTCCATTTTGAAAAAAAAAACCCAAGAAAAAAACATTTTGCAACAATTTATTAAAACGTCAATTCAAAATAAGGTCCCTAATAATTCATATTTGTGTACAGTGCAAAATAATATTAAATGTTTGTCTTTTTTATTTAACAGCTAATATGTCTGATCACAACCGTCATATCTAGGAGACCTAGAAGTGATAATGGGCTATGAAATATAAAATAATACAAACAAGACATGATTTGCTGCCTCATACAGAAAATAATATTGTTTTAAGTTGATATAATTATAATTATAGGGCATTCATTGATTACATATTAAAATATATATTTTTTAAATGATCATATGCTCACATTTAGAATATTTTCCAATCATTATCAATACACACAAGGGCTGTCCAACATGAAATTTATGTATCTCATTTCATGCTATTAAACAGTGTATGGGATATAAGCTTATACAGTATAAGCGATTTATTATTGAAAATGCATTGCTTATTTAAGTGAAAAATATTTTTGATTTTTTAAAAAAAGTTTAACGACTGAAGATTACAAGAAAGCCTACATATTTATAAACCTGAATGACTAACATATAAATATAACATTAAAAGTATTAAATTAATTAATATTCAGTGAAGCAAATAATTGTAACTAAACATTTTTACCAATGAAGTAATGACAGTTTAAAGGAGACACTGTATGATATCATATTTCAAACAAGATTTCTAAAATTGGACATCCGGAAGTTCATGACTGTTCTTTAAATCTAGTCTTAAATTTTATCACAACCAATGAAATGAGTAACTTTTTAAAAAAAAGTCATATCACGTTTTACTCTCGTTGGTAAACCAAAGGAGAAGTTATGAAACGTCTGACTTTTGTATAAAAGTTAAAGAGTGAAAATAACAGGACACAAATTATGATATAATTAAAAATAATCAGGAACATAATAAAATTATTACCATTGATTCTTATTTCTATGTCACTTAATTTAGATCTTGTAATAAGAACAGGCAGTTTGAAAGCTCATTAAAAAGCATATATCAAAATTGGAAACAGCTATGATTGCACCTTGACTAATATTTCAAACAGTGTAAAATATACCATTTCATAAAATCTAGATAACGATGACATGGACACAAAATTAAATAAAAAAATAAAATATTTAATTAAATGTACTCTTAATCTTTTTTATAAAGAAGAATGTTTTCCTAGTAAACCCAGGAATTCTTTATAATACAAAATTGCTGGATGGAATCATAAATATCACTTAACTATTAAACTGTTAAAATGTAAAGCTTTTTTAAAAATAGTGTAAATTGTAAATGTTAAAAGTAAATATATATTTTCTTCATAAATGTTAATTTTTAAAGCATAATCTTTGTTACAAACTAGGCAATAGCCTAAACATGGGTAATAAAAATTAAAACAAATATTTTGTTTCCAATGGACTTCAAAAATGATGCCAGGTTAAGAAGTTCAGGAACATCTGTAGCGTTTCTTTAGCTGTTGTATCACACACACTTCCATACAAAAACACTGAAATAAAGTTATAAACAGATTTTTTATTTCCTTTTTCTCAATGGCATTAAATAAATTAGACAATCTGTCAGTTATATCTAGTTTTTTTTTCAACCAAAAGAAAATAACTGAAATCTCAACAGTGCAAATAAAAGACTTTGAAAACTGGTGTCTAATGAATTTGCAGCCATAAAAATTGTTTAAAAACATTTTAAAAAATGCCCTGAAATGGCTTTTTAAAAATGTCTATTTTCAAATCTTAATTTTCTAAATGATGTACTTTATGCACAAATGTATGATAATTTAAATACATAACTCCCAACCAGATGTTATTTGAACAAAACTGAATGGTGACTCCAGAGGTTAAGATTTAAATGAAATATACATTTGTATGCCTTTTGAAAAATGTTTGTTGATACATTTCTCTAATCATGGATGGGCCAAGCTCATTTAAAATAATCCTAATAAACATAACATACCAACAATCATCTCCTCCTGTGCTAACAAGATATCTGTCATCAAACATGAAGCGAACATTGGTCACATGAGCTGAATGACCAGCGAATTTCTTGAACTCTGCCTGCAATGACAATTGATTTATCAAATTTCAAACAATGAAAATTAAATTTCAACATGTTTTTAAAAAAAAATTGTGTAACAAAAAGCAGATAGCACATTGCATAAAATAGGAATTATTTCTACTTACGAATTTATTAGGACATGGAAAGTTGAACAGTTTGACCAGTCCAAAATCATCCCCAGTGGCCAGGGCATTGCCTAGGTGGGAGAGGTGAGCACAGTTAATGTCAGCTTTCTGAGAATTCTGAGGCCAAATACCCAGTACATCCCGTCCAACAATGCTGGTAAAAGAATGGTTGATAAATGGTTAAGTATATCTTTGTAATCTATTTTATACTTTCAAGAAACCTAGAGACTATAAGTTAATATAGATGTCAGATAATAGTACATTTTTAACAACATAATTAACAAAAGAGGAATTTAAAAAGTAGTCAGAAAGAGACCAAAAATGATTCATAAAATAAAAATTGCACAGTATCGCCTGTGATATTTGCTGTCATTTTGTCCATACTGAAACATCATATTTGGAAAATAAATATTTTATTTCTGATAATTATGAATAGAATTGTAAGGTGCACACGTGGCTAAATACCTCGTCCAGCTGGCCCATGTAATCTTTTCAGTGACAGTTTCATCCTCCACCAAACTGCCACCAGGCACATTGTACACATAGTTGACATAAGCTCCAGTACACACCTGCAGTCAGAGGGTGAGGAGAAGTGAAAGTTCTAATGTAACAGACAATTTGTTTTGTATAATTATTCATCAATGCTTCCAATATAATTATTAAAAAAACAACCTACTATACTCACCCTTATGTAATTACTGTCAGCTGAAAAGTCCATGTTCACAATAAAGCTTGTAATCTTGGTACAAAAACCTGCACGATTAAGTGTCTGGCCTTGAGTAAGATCATAGAAATCCACACAGCTGTCATCTGAACCAACTGCCAGGAATTTGGAGTTAGGGCTAAACCTGCATTTAAGAAATTACATTATCTGATGAAATTTTAAATGAGGATTTCAATTAACTTAAGGAAGTTTTTTACATTTTGCTTTAATCAATCAAGAGAACAAAAATAATTATGCCATAGCAAATCATTATGTTAGAAAGAATGATTTCTTTTTATTTGAAAATATGTCTAAAAAATAAGGTGGCTAATCTAAAAAAATATTTATATGATTGTTACTATCTAAATCCCAAACCTGATGTCATTGATGGCACCAGCTCTATCTCGCTTTCTTCCCCACAACTTCAAACCAGTGGTTGAAAGGATGAGGAACTCTCCAGTTTTCAGGCCAACGGCTATTAACTCACCATCAGGGCTGAAGGCCACAGACCTTGCGGCTGTCACATCTAGCTTGGCCACCAGAGACTAAAGTATATTGAAGTTATTACTCTGACCAATAGCTGTTTTTAATTTTTATTTGTAAATCTGATAAGATTTCTGTTGCTGCTTGATATCCCAAATAAATTATATAGTTTGATAGGCTGATTGCAATAACATTTAAAATCTCTTTGATATAAATAAAATTTTTAAAAATAAATAAATTGAAAGCCTATTTTATTAAGTAGCACTGTTCTGATGAACCCAGCTCAAGTAAATTTCAGTTGCTTTTTATTTTCCTTATTATATTGCTACCTAATTTTTGGCGGAAAAGAAACTTAATCGTTCATACCTTCTGTAATGCGTAGTTGTGTAATATGTAAAGAAATATTTATTAAATTATACTGGCTTATGTTTTGTTTAATTGTATATAAAATTATCACCTTTGTTGTGATGTCCCATAGTCGCACAGTGCCATCATAACTTGCTGTTAAAAACTTTGAGGTCGTTGGGTGACAGTCTAGCCCCCATACCTCACCCTCTCCATGTCCTGCTATGGTGATATGCACAGTGCCAGTTTTCTCTGAAATCTCCAGCACACAGTTGTCAATGGTGCCCACCAGAATTTTGCCCTGGGAAAATATATACAGGAACTAAGGAATATATCATACTCCATTAGATCACAGTAATTTAACATTTCTGCCATATTAAAATGAATTTAAAACAATGAGTAACTACAAAAAATCTAGATATCTTATTACATCTAACATTCCCACATTGCAATATATATCTAGCTCTGAGTGCAAGGATGTACCTTGGCTCTACACACAGACTTGACAACATCTGCTTTGGTGCCTGTCTCCTTCAGGGGGAAGGCCTTGCATCTCTTCATTTCTTGGTCCCACAGCTTCACGGGACCATTGTCTTTGGCTCTGTTTCAAGTAGAAACATCTCATCTTGAGAACATTTCTTAATATTTTCATTGAAAGTAGGATTTGCATTTTTTTAAAAATGTTAAATTAATCATATAAAAAGGTATTTCAATTAACTAAATTTAGAGAGCGTGTAATGTCCAAGTAGGCCTGCATCGAGTTATTCTTTGAAAAATGCTAGTAAATAAAAAGTTGTTGGCTTACGGCATCTCTTTGCCCCCTGTAACAATGAGGCCATCCCGCAAGGTTGTGAACATGGTGAAGACAGGTCCAGTATGGGCTTTTTGTACCACACGTGTCAGAGTTGCCTCCTGCCACACATAGACATCTCCACTCAAGGCACCTGTGTAAGTCACATTGTTCTGGAGAGAAACACAGCATTATCAGCTATTGGGGTTTGGGGGGGGGGGTTATTTAATAAGCTACTAAAGTTATTCACTGAGGAAGAATCCAAACACTATTTCTGGCAGTATCTGTTAGGAGTGGATGGCAAAATTTAATTGTGAAAATGGTTTTGAGGACACAAGCACTGTTTTTTTTTCCCACATTTTTTTTTGTAACAAGCAAACATGCCTGTATGTTGTTTTTATTATACACATTCACAGTCGTCAACAAATTCAAACTATGTAAACAAAACAGTGATCCTTACAGGCTTAGTAAAAACAATAATTGTAAAATACTCTGGCTTTGAGAAAGCCTCACAAGAATTTTTTCCCCTCCTAATCATGATTATTTCCTCTGAAATGTATGTATATCGCAGGCATAACTTACATAGCTGACCTACTAGTTTCAGAAGCCGTAAATAAAACTTCAGTCAGGCTTGGTTCATAAAGGATATCAACTTACCATACAAATAACATATATAATTTTGTACAAAAGTGTTAAATTTACATCAATCTGATGAATTTTTGAATTAAACTATACAATTATAATATATGATAGGAATGTTTTAACATTTTGAATGATAAAAGTTCCTAGAGCAGGCCTGCACAACATACGGCCCGCCAGTACCAACTTTGTGGCCCGTGAAGTAATGAAATAATCTTTATACTTATTATTTTCTTAATAGCTTTGCCCCTGTCCTATTTTCTTTTGGCCCGCACATGTCCTGTCCTATTTTCTTTTGCCCGCACAAGTTTTTTATAAAGTATTACGGCCCGCCTTACATTTCGAGTTGTGCAGGCCTGTCCTAGAGAATTAAACCTCTTTATTGTCGGGATATGTTTTAAACTTTCAAAAAACTTTTTAACTGTTCAATTGAATAAGTTCTAAGAAAAAAAGAAGAATATAAACAATTATAAGACTAGAGAACTATAATGAGAAATGAGTATTAACATCAATGGACTGTTTCAAGAATGTAAACATTTATGACTCACCGCTCCAAAAGCCAACGACAACATGGTCTGCAGCTTAGGCTGACCAACTGTTTCAGTGCTTGCCAGAATGCCCCGCTTGCCTACAAGTTCTCCACCTGCCACTGACCAAAACTTGACATGTTTTACCCCCACACTAACCAGCTGCGTATCAGAGTCAGGACGGAATTCGGCACGGAAGATTCTCTGTGAGTGACCAGGAGCTGATGCAATCTTGCCACCTATGAATAGTCAAATCAGATGGATGAGTTATGTGGTAAAAAACATTTAAAAAGAAAAAAAAACCAGCCTAAAATGATATCTTTACAACAAAAATCCTTAAATATTACTTTTGTTACAGTATTAAGATTTGACATTTGATAAACAGATAGTCACTAGAAATGTTTCATGATAATGGTGCATAAACTGTTTAAATAAGTACCTGAATTTCAGACAGCAGGTGGAATTTATAATTATCTTAAACATAACTACTGAATAGCACCAAAGATACAACGTAAGTGAATATTTAAGAAAAAGGTATTAAGTTCTATAAAGCAATTTCAGATAAATTATCCGCACCGCACTGAGTTTCTGTAGATGAGTCAACTCCCTTTGTTTAGTTGCAGATTGTTACTTGAGTGATCTATTCTCTTTTTCTATATTAATTTGCCGATGGAATGTTTTTGATAAGTGGCGTTTTTAAATTAATATTTCATAGCATGATTAATTATAATATATCCAAACCAGGCTATTTTACTGGTGTGACAATTGATTTTTATTTTTTCTAAAAACTTTTTGGATTTTATTTTCAGAGGAACCTGTAATAAAGTGTGTAAAGTGTATTTGATGAAACTATAAGTGGGTTTTCATTATTTTGAATATTGTACAATTAATTTAAATCTTTTTATTCAACTTTATGATTTTTTCATTACAGTATGTAACCGTAGCACACTAACACATGGTTTTAGATTTTACATATGGTCATAGATTTTAGGTTCGAAGATTTATGCTAAGTTATGGATACTGATTTGTGTGCTTGAGGAATATAGCATTCAGGTTAGGGAGAAATGTAGATTTTAGGTTTGAAGTTTTTCTAAAAAAAATTACTGAAATAAATTTGCATTTTCTTTTGTTAATCTTTAACTGTTTTTTTATGTTAAATTTTTTAAATTTTGAATTTTTAATTAAATGTTCTTTAATATTATTAATTTTATGCAAAGCAAGTTTCAAAAAGCATCTTTTATTATGTCTACCTTTTAAAAAAACAACATTCTCATTATTTTCGTTTGTCTTGCTAAGTAGCTAAAACACATTCTCTCCCTTTCCCCTCACCATTTGACCAAACTTGTTTTAACACTTTTTTTGGCATGGCTGCCATATTTTTTGCCATGAAACATCTGCCATCATGGCAACAAAGATGGTGGCAGCGTAAAAAATGTGGTGCAAAAACATAGGTAAATGAGTTGTATGGATAGCCTAAATTTACTGTTTTATATTCTGAAAGTATAAGTGAGTGTAAAACTGAAATCTTACAACTTACCATCCTGCCACCGCCACACTGTGATATTGTGTTCATCCTCAAGTCCAACAGTGACTAGATTTTTTCCAGTGCAGGAAAAATCTATTGAACATATTCCTTTAGAGTGACCTCCCTGGATAATGGAGAGTGTCTCTTTAGTCACAGAGTCCCAAACGTGGACTGTTGGGTTTGTACCAATCTGACCAGTGGCAACAATATTCTTGAACTTGGGATGTTGGTTGATGTCAAGACAGATAATATCATCAGTGTGCTTCAGGTAAAAACTTTGGGTACCTGAAAGTACAGGATAGTAGAAATATTGGAACATGGTGACATAAGGGAATTTGAGGTTAATTATAAAATCTAATATTAATATCAGTTGTGTAACAAAACATGATGGTCGCCACCCGTAGTAAGCACACAGCATACAACATCATGACCAATGACAAGCTGAGCAGTGCCATGACAACCAGCATGAAAGAAGATTGTATGCATCAAATTTGACACACAAATAGCCACCATGCATAGTAGTTTTTAAGATTTTCCCCGAACCTCCTAACCTCAACAGAGTAGTTCATGTGCAAGTGGACCAAATATACAATTTTCAAAAGTTACTTGGAAAGGTACATCGAAAAAAGGTGCTGTTGCACCATTTTGGTGTGTTCTACGAAAAAAAGAGCCCTGATTCAGAGAGAATATATTTGTTATTATGTTTAAAAAAATCTCTAGGCAGTATAAAATTTATAATTATAAGAACAGTATGTTTAAAACAGTTATCTCATCTAGAAAAAGAAAATGGCTGAGCAATTTGGTTACATTCTTTAAAATATATACTACATTCTTTAAAACATATACTAACTGCTTGTGCCACATGAAAAACATGGGTTATTTTCTACCAAATTTCCATATATTTTACAGTAGTTAATTTATATCAGTGTCACAAGATGATGATGTATTGATTCAACTTACTAGTAGACAGATTCTGCACTATCCCTGCCCCAGCTGCATGGAATACAATGTCTGCTCCATCATTGACATAGAAAAGGTTACTTCTGGAATCAAACCCTCTGTAGCCATGGATGAATTCCAACTGGAGATCCTGAAATCATGGACTTTATTATTTTATACATTTAAAACAAAATTGTAGCAATCAGAATATAACGAGTCTGAATCACATCAAATTTGTTACATGGATTGACAACTCAGGAAAAAAAAATAAAATGAGCACAGCTAGGAATAGAAAGATTACTCAGAAATGTGCCTTTAGTAAATAATGCTTGCGTGCTTCAGTTATTTAATAACTTTGAACTTTGACATCTTAAAGACAAAGATTCATGAATATAATTACTGAAACTTTAAAAAAAATTATTTATAATATTAACGATACATGTGGTGCATAGCGTGTGCTTAACTTTAGGGTATTAGTACTTTATAGTTTCTTACTCAACTGTGATATCTAGGAAATATTTGGTGAATAGAATAGGATTTGGAGTCAGAGTTTTGGATACTGCTCAAGGAATACTTACTGTGACTTGCGTAATTTTCCTCTTTTTACCACCAGCTGTAGTTGGGGGATCAGGACGCTGAACTTTGGGAGGCTCCGGGGCACTGCGACTCACAGAGGGTCTAAGCCAGACAAATATGAAATCTTTTTGGTTTACTTGTGATTTTAAAAAAAACAAGAAGAGTATCTCTTTAATTGTATTTTTTTTAAAATACCAATTAAACGCAATTAAACTAAAAAGTAGAAAATAATTTTAATTTCTTAAAATGCATTAGGCAAAGAAAGATTTTGCAGAAGTGTAGATGAGCATTTTATATAGCCAAAGAAATTTAATTGAATGTATAGATGAAACTTAATTTGTTTATGTTTATTTTTTAAAAAAAATGTTTTCTATTTAATACTTTTAAACTTGTCTTTGACAGAATGTCTTTTTTTCAAAAGTTAAAAAAAATATTTTTTAATATTTTCTACTTTTTAGTTTTAAAATTGTAGTCTTTAAATTACAGGCAAAAGTAGAGTTATTAACTTTTTTAAACAAAGAATGCTTAAAAACTTCTGTTTTACTCTTTACCTAAGCATGAAACTAAAAAGTAGATTTAAATGGCTTCAGTTTTTCACAATGCTGGTTGCAAGCCGTCTGTTGTGCCAAATTTTATTGCCACATATGAACTGTCCCTAACCCTTCCCCAAAATTCAACAGCTCTCATCTGAGCTCCCCTGCCCACCCTTCTCCCACCATTCACTGAACGGAGCAGATGCAATCAACCACATCAACTGAGCAAGAGGGTCATGTGTCACAACATAAAATTATGCTGCATGCCCCATGCATTTGCAAGTAGAAATAAAGTCTTTAAAAATGAAACAAATGTGAAGCCACAATTCAATTAAATAGTAAAATGCCATCGATAGCAAAATGGGGAAAATAATAGCAAAATAATCCGAAGTACTTTATTTCTTCCTTTCCTTCCTGCATAGTGGGCTTGACTCCATCTTTTTCTCTAACAGGGTTGATGTAAATCTTTGTTGTGTAGTCCAATTTTTTCTCTCTCTCTACATCACTGTCATAGCCTGCCACAGGGAAACAGAGCACTGAAGTCACATGGTACAAATATCAGAACTTCATATAATTTTTAAAAAAGATGTCACAGAATTTGTCTATGTCAAGTAAACATATCTCAGACTATTCCTTTTTATATCATTTGATGACCGCTTACATCATGAATACAAACAGATGTTATTGTATAAGCCTTATCATTAAAAAAAGAAGAGGATAGAATACATCATTACTAAGAACAGGTGTCATATATTGCCCTGCATTATTTACAAAGGTAACAGAATTTCATTTAAAAAAATATATTTTGAAACATTATACAATAAAACAATGTTTTTAATGTGAGGCAGTACATATGATATATAAACACCTTCTTCTTCATCATCTGTATCCGAGTCATCACTTTGTCCTTTATCGTTCTGGTTCCCTTCCCGCCTCCATATCATGATGGAAGTGTCCGCTCCACCTACAGACACCAACTTTTGGTTGTCATATGACCATCGTATGTTGGTCACATGGGCGCTGTGGCCTGAATACTTCTTGAATTTTGCAAACTTGCCCTGAACAAAATAAATTTGTTTACATCTAATTTTTGGACCTAGACATATGGTAACAGACTTTCTGGAAATTATTTCTGGACTTATTTTTGGCATAAATTATTTTTGGGAAATTGGTTTTTGCACATCAATTCTATCATGTAAACTTTTTGCTTACACCACAATAGATTGGAACCCAACTGCATTACTTTTATATCTAACAAACAATTGTACAAACAGAGCGAGCAAGATATTTATGTACCGTAATTTATGTTAGTAAGCCTATTATGCCCCACTGTTATATTTTTGTCTGAATTCCACTGATTGTGAATTTGATATTTTTCATAATGGAAAACATATAATTTTTTTTCACCAATAAATAATACTAATAATAGATGAGTAGCTTGAGTAACATCTCTTTACTTTAACTTTCAAAATATGATGTGTGACATAGAAATCAAAAGGCAATGGGACATTTATAAGAAAACTCAACAAATTAACTCTTCTAAAAAGAATAAGCAACAAATGGGACTATTGCCCACCATTAGACATATGAAGGAGAAATCTTCCTCACCGTGACTGGATAGTCAAACAACTTGACAAAACCAAAGTCATCAGCTGTGGCCAGGAGTCTGCCACCTCCAAGTGAGGCAGCATTGACGTCGGTGACATCACATTTGGGTGGCCAGATGCCTTCACAGGTTGTCCCCAAGACACAGGTCCAGCTGGCCCAGCCGAACTTTTCAATCTCTGCATTGCGAAGAGTTATCCTCTTGCCTCTTGGTGCCTCAAAAAACAGTTGTTCCTTGGCTCCTGTATTCACCATCAACACTTTCCCTGTAGCAATGGAAATTTATTAAGCATTGGTTTCTACACAACCAATGTTGTGTTACTGCAATGTGATTGCTTTCAAAATTATGTGATTACTTCAGGGTAGACTGCAAAACATCTCAGAGTTGAGGTGCAAAAATATGTATCACTTATGTTGTTACATAGATTATGGTAGTGGAACTATCATGCTATGCCAGTAAATTTTGGGAATGTGTGCTGGTGTCCCACAATGTCAGAAATTCAAATAGTCCACTTATTTTGTGGTAAGCTATATGATCATAAATGGACTACTCTCTAACCTCTAAGATCCCAGTCAATGTGGGTGATATAACTTGACGCTCCCTTGCAAGTCCCAACTCTTGTTGTTTTTAAAACACTGTAAATGTCTACAAAGTTGTCATGGGAGGCAACTGCAAGGTACTTTCCGGGATCTGATCAAACAAGAAGGTATAACTGAACAAACTTCTATGGAGTAATAGTACTTGTTGCTAGTTATAAAAAAACACAACCATACAAAACAATTTTTAAAAAAATGAAAGGTGCATTTAATTTTAAAAATGTTTATTTACTGTATAACATGATTGTGAAATAATGCATTTTCTGGTATTTCCCAGATAATAGTAAGCTGCTTTATGAATCAATGCTAGATTGGAGATTTGAAGGGGGAGAGTTTCAAGCAGACCATTGTTAAGACAACCAGGCCTCATGATCTACTATGAGTCACAGATTGTCTTGCATAATTTTTTATGTATGTCTACCAGCATGAGCTTGGATGTAAAGAACATACATTCTTACAATATATGCATTTGGGGGGGGGGGGGGTGAAAGTTTTAAAAAAATTAAATTTCCTGAGAACCTCTTCTTACATTTGACCTTTTCAAAATAGGTGTAATCTAACAAGCTTTTTTTTTTCTGAAAATTGAAAAAAATATGATCTACTATGAGTCACAGATTGTCTTGCATAATTTTTTATGTATGTCTACCAGCATGAGCTTGGATGTAAAGAACATACATTCTTACAATATATGCATTTGGGGGGGGGGGTGTGAAAGTTTTAAAAATATTAAATTTCCTGAGAACCTCTTCTTACATTTGACCTTTTCAAAATAGGTGTAATCTAACAAGCTTTTGTTTTCATGAAAATTGAAAAACATGAAAGACTTTCCAACCTGGGGAGAAACGGATGTCGCATATTTCTTCCTTTCTGTGATGCTGTGTGATCATCTCTTCCATTGTTTCAGCATTGATGACCAAAAAACTACCTGGAATAGAATCAATTCATATAAAGACCACAAAACTAGTCTACCTGGAATAGAATCAATACATAATAATAATGTCAAAACTACCTGGAATAGAATCAATACATATTAATGACCTAAAAACTACCTGGAATAGAATCAATCCATATTAATGACCTCAAAACTACCTGGAATAGAATCCATACATATTAATCACCTCAAAACTACCTGGAATAGAATCAATACATATAATGACCACAAAACTAGTCTACCTGGAATAGAATCAATACATATTAATGACCTCAAAACTACCTGGAATAGAATCAATAAATATTGATGAACACAAAAACTAGATCTGAAATAGCATCAAGACAACTGTAAAGCTAGATATTTCAACAACTATTGGGGTTTCGTGATAAATTGTATTTATGGCTCACATCTTGGGCTTGTGATATGACATTTCTCTGGAATATATTATTTTTGATTATTCCATTTATTCAAGAATTTCATTAGTTTAAAAAGGAATAAAGAAGACAACATTTTTAAATATCTGTTCATTTGTTATAACGCTATGCTTGATTCCTGCACTAGAAAATGAACTCTTGGTTTCAAAGAAAAAATACAAAACAAAAACTTGTTTGCTTATTGCACAATATAATTAACATTGATCAAATTTCCATGTTGGAATGATAACTAATTTTCCAATTTTTACTGCACAAAAAAAAGCTAAATCATAGTTAGCTATGCAGAGTAGGCTTAGACAAAAATAAAACTTTGCAGGTCTTATAAAAAAATGTATATCATAAAAATTAAAATAACATAAAGTTACCATCTTTCTGTCCAACGGCCAGGGCCCTTCCGTCTGGTGAGAAGGCCACACAGCGAGCAGCTTGTTTCAGCTCTTTGAAATTGACCATCCTGTTCCCCTGGCTGAAGTCCCACAGCCGTAAGGTCTTGTCATCACTGACTGTAGCAAACAATTGTTTGCTGGGATGCATGGCCAACCCCCAGATTTCCCCTTCCATGTGACCCTGACAAGGGAATTCAGAGTTATAGAATTATTTTATGCTATTAGAATATTTTAATCACAGAAACGATTTCTTACCATCTATAGTGGAGACACCAAATCAATAATAAGCCATTATCTTTTACGTCGGTGGCAATGTTGCCTCTCATTTACAGAAGGTTTGTGTAAAAAAACCAGTTAGGTGTTGTCATTCAATTCATTGAAACTTTCCGCTAAGAGATGGCACAAGATCAAAAGGACCAAGTATTGTGACCATTACTTGAATGTGATTTTGTACATCTCCAATTCAAGAGAAAAAAAACAGGCGTTAACTCCTATACCCAGAGCCACTATGACATAGAGAAAAGAGTTGACTACTAAAGAAAGATGCATAGAGCAAAGGGTTAACTACTAAAGTAAGATGCATAGAGCAAAGGGTTAACTACTAAAGTAAGATGTATAGAGCAAAGGGTTGACTACTAAAGTAAGATGCATAGAGCAAAGGGTTTACTACTAAAGTAAGATGCATCCAGCAAAGGGTTAACTACCAAAGTAAGATGCATAAGGTTGACTACTAAAGTAAGATGCATAGAGCAAAGAGTTGACTACTAAAGTAAGATGCATAGATCAAAGAGTTGACTACTAAAGTAAGATGCATAGAGCAAAGAGTTGACTTCTAAAGTAAGATGCATAGAGCAAAGAGTTGATTACTAAAGTAAGATGCATAGAGCAAAGAGTTGACTACTAAAGTAAGATGCATAGATCAAAGAGTTGACTACTAAAGTAAGATGCATAGAGCAAAGAGTTGACTTCTAAAGTAAGATGCATAGAGCAAAGAGTTGACTACTAAAGTAAGATGCATAGAGCAAAGAGTTGACTACTAAAGTAAGATGCATGAAAGGATCAAACCTGAGTTAACAGTGTCATTGGTCCAGCTTTGTCTATCTCCAGAATTTCTGCATTTCTCGTCCCTACCAAAATTTTCCCGTGACCCAGCACGATGGCACGCACAGCAGGTGACTCCTGGACCAGCATGCCACTGGAGCCAGGGGTCAAGGCTGCTCTCTTGATGGCATAGGTTTTTAAACATCGCTCAAACTGATCATCCCACAGTCCCACAATGCCATCTTTACCCCCAGTCACAAATCCCTAGATTAATAGAGTAAATAAAAATAAAAACATTTTAAGTGAATTAAGCTCTAATTTCCATCTTGGGGAACTCTTCATTTCACTGATATCAATTTTTTATCATTGTCAAGACTCAGATCAATTCTTTAAAGAGATTTGGTAAACATTTACATTAAATTTTATCAGAGGCAGTAATGACTGAACTATTTAAGCACTTTGTGAATAGGTCCAAATTGTTTGACACATGTTTTAAATCAAATAGTTTGAAATGTCACTGTTTTAATTTATGCAATAAATTTATTTTCTTGAACCTTCTCAATTCTGCTGCATATCTTTATGAGGAATGATAACATTAAAATTTTAACCTAGCCAGGATTAGGAAATCCACTAAGTCAACATTTAATATTATCACACGCCACCAAATGAGCTGTGTTATGGAAATAATTAAATAAATAAGATGTTGATCAACCAATTTAACATAACTAACAATGGCGCCCCCCAAAAAATTGTCAGTGTTTGAATGCACTTGTTTTAGGATGGAAAGATTCATTCAGTATAGGACCAGCAGTGACATCCTCATCCAATCATTTATTTAATTAAATGACTTTCTTGTATGAAACATCACAGACCCCAGTTAGAAAGAATTTTTTTTACAATTCTGATCTCAAGTCTGTGAATATATATAGCTATATATGATTTCTTGTGAAGGTTTTTTTACTTTGTAGATAAACTTAAACTAATGAGGTAAGATTCTTTTATAGATCCAAATAAATGGAAATGTGTTTTGATTACATCGTATATATTCATTTTCAGCACATGAATAAATAATAAATAAATAATTTTGAAACTATAAAAATTTAAACTCAAGACATATAATGTATTTTTCAACTGCAAAATCCAGCCATCATATACAATAAAACCTCACTCCCTAGATTATTTGATTTTGCAAAAGCCAGGGGAGCATGCAGACTGGAGAACACATTAATTTTTATTTCTTTCACAGATGGCAACAGAAGCATTCGCAATTAAGAAGTTAAAAGTTTTGACAAGAAATTGCAAAACCTTGCATAATTTTGGAAGAAATTGAGTTACCTTGTCAAGGGAATGCATGGCAAACACCGGGCCTTCATGAGCTTTGACAGTTTTTTGTAGAGTGACACCTTGCCAGATGAAAATCTGGCCATCACTTCCCCCAGAGAAGCAGGTTTCAGCAGCCTTCCCATAAGAAATACACATCATGTCACATAATTTTGCAACTTGGCCCAGGGTCCCACGGTTTGAGGTGAATCCACCACCTGGGGAATAAAATGAGATCATCAAATTATAGAACATTTAATTTGTGCTTTTTCAGATAATATAATATACTTGATAGAGCCCGCCAAACATTGGCGGCATGAACTTCCCATCTAGTGAAGTTACTTGACAAAACATGAACTCAAGTAACGAACATTTAAGAATCCCAATATTTGCTACACCCTTTCCCCCATAATACGTCACAGCACACTTTTTATTTCACTATATTAATATTCTCATGTCCCAAACACTTTTAAACCGAATATTTTGTACACAATACTTAAATTGAGACGATTTCATTTCCGAAAAGAAAATATTACGCACCAAACGCAATTGCGTTATTAAAAAAATATATAGATCGTATATAGCTTAGTTACAGGAATTATATTTTGTGCGCTAGTGAACTCATTATTGAACCACACTCTGGCGTATCTATAAATAGCCTGCGTGGTGTTTGAACCCTGTTGGTGTTTGACCTTTGCTGGCGAATTAGACATATAGATATCTGAAGAAAGTAAATTTATTGCTTACTTTAATGCTTTTAAGTTTGAGGAAAACTGTTAAAAAAGTATTATATGTTAAAACATAATTATTAGATTTTTCAGTTACTTACTAATCAACATCAAGAAATAACAAAGGTTAACACTTGTGACATAAGGTGGGTCAATGGTATAACTGGAGGATTTTGTTATGTCCATTTTTACTAAGTCTAGTTAAATATTTGGCAGGTTTTCATCTCATATTTTGCCCTTTTACCCTATTCCTGCCATGTACAATTGTTCATTCCAAATCTTTGATAATATAAAACTACTGAGTTTATCCCACTTCTAAGATAGAAAACCTGTTTGTGTCCAAAATTTGATATGCTTGGCTCCAACAGTCACTAGTTTGTTGTGGTCAAATGGATTCCATTTTATAACAAATATTTTGTCTTTGTGACCTCTGCAAAAGAAATAGACATTTAATTTTTATTTTAATACCAGATAAAGATGTCATCAAGAGGCATTATATTTTTTTTTAAAATTTCCCCTTACAATAACCAGATAGTATTCCAAACAATTATATTTCATGTGAATTGATATCTAAAAAAAAAAGATCTTATCTCAAACTTTTAAAGATAGTTATGTATCATGACCGTAATAATAATTTATCACTATAAGATTTCTTTATGACATATCATTTCATGAGAAAGATTAAACTTAAAAGTTAGCAACTGACTAAATTTTTCAACACAACAAAATTGCTAATAGTAATAGGAGAAAAAAATATATAATCTGATCGGACTAAGTGAGTCATAACAGTAATTTATAAAGTAAATACTCTATCACAACATGCACTGGTATGAATGAAAGTAATGTAACAGTATATATTTTACGCTACTGTATCACACTAGCAGTAATATTGCAACATATTTTATCATGCAGTATTACTAGTAGTGGTAGTAATTGAGCAATATGTGTTTGAGTCTATTGTATTGACCTGGTAGTTCCAAGTTTTTCCCCTTTCTTCCAGTCCCAGACAACAATCGTGTGGTTATCATCCAGTCCAACCGATGCCAACTTTTTTCCATCCACTGTAACAGATACATCATTAATACAAACTCCATTTCTTATCTTTTAAATTAAGGGTTTGTTTTTTGTTCTACAATACATTTTAAAAAAAAAATTTGGTATTTATTTCTTTATGTAAGAGTTTGTGTAAATTAATTCTGCACCGATTTGTTTTCCTTTTCAATTAAAAAAAAAAAATGACTACAGTTACCTGAAAAATCAAGGGCACAAACTCCTCTCTGATGTTGTCCTTTAAGAATGGAGCCTGTCTTGAGACTGTCTGTGTCCCAGATGTGGATGCTGGGATCTCTACCCACCTACCAGAAATAATTTATATACATTGATTGATGACATTTCAAATGATAAATTAAAAAGCAGAATCATAACAGAAAATCTAAAAATTCAAACAAGATATAACATCCAAACCCCAAGCGGCATCACTAAAACAGCTTACCTGGCCAGTAGCTACAATGTCCTTGAGTGGATGGATGCACAGACACAAAATATCATCAGTGTGCTCAGTGTAGAATCTCTGTTTGTTTGTCTCCTTGTTGTATACAATGCCTGTTGCTGCCACGTGGTAAACCACCTCCCCAGCTTGGGTATAAAACAGGTTGTTGCGACAGTCATAGCCCCGATAGCTAAGAAGGTAACAAATTTATTTGATGGTTAAAGCGTAATAAATAACATTTTTAAAAATCTAAATAAAGGAGAGAGATAAGCAATGTTTTTCATTTTTACTATTTATTGGGAGGTGATTTTAAAAAAAAAATTGATTTTCAAATAATTTTTTACTTAAGATTTAATCATCTAAAAAGTTATACCCTATATACTTGTCTATCTATAAGTTGATCGTCTATAAGTCGAGGGCAGTTTTTTGACCAACAATTATGAAATATGCTATGACTCATGGATGATTCAAGGGTAAAATGTACATCTACCAGTAAGTACACTAGCACTACCGGTAACTCGACATTGCCCCACAATCAATTCTATCGAATCTAGTACTGAAAAGATGGATAAGTTGACTCTGCTGTTCAAAAAGCTTTTTACAACTGAAATTTCTAAACATATACATGAGTATATACATTACTTTATATAAGTCTTATAAGGACATGTAAAAAATACATGCTGCTATGATTATTGTTTCATCAGATTTACAAAATTACTTTTTCTCCATAACAAAACTGAAAAGTTGTAAACAATAATTTTTTTAAAAATATTTTACATTGTAGCAAGCATTAAGCTTTTCATAGTTTGACAAAAAATAGACATTTGATAAACATTAAAATTTCAGTTGTTAACTTGGTCAGTCTTCTTATCTGCCTTATAAATTTTGTTACACCAGACTAAGATCATCATTAAAGTTATTTATAAAAAGAAATTTGAAGACTCACCCATGTACATAATCTAGTTTGAGGCTTTCTGTGGGACCATTCTTCCTTTTAGCGCCAGGTGGCAGACTCTCTCTCAACAGTTTTTTCTGGTTTGATATATCCTCCTTATACACAGGTCGGTCATAACCCACTTGTTTCTCTCTCTCCACATCTGAATCAACTGAACCTACATCCGAGAGGTCTGAGTCACTGTCCTCACTGTTAGAGTCCACATAGGCTGCCAACAAACAAAATAATCATCACAGGACTTAAAACAAGATTCAAGTAAAGTTCCACCAAATCTGCACATTCTGTGATATAAATTTTTGTTAGTGGACATATGCCTTCACTTCAAGACATTTAAAAAAGAATCAGATGTAGAAATAGAACACATATAACATAGATGACAACTTAAAATAACTGATGCAGTTAATTCAATATTTGTATCCTCATGCCAGAGATCTTATTGAATATTAACTCCAACAAACTGTTATACTTCATCACCAAGTCCACATTTATTTTAAGATCTTCGTCTGCTAAATTTTTTTTAGAAATTGTCATTTTATTGTGTACACTTTTTGATATTTTAATTTAACTTATAAAGCCTATGACAGCCATACATCTGTAAGGATAATTTAAGATTACCATTATTATTGTCAGGTAGGTCATCATCCCCTTCTCCTTGGGTCAGAAATCTCCACTGGAAAATGGAATGGTCACCGCCACCTGTTGATATCACTTTAAGACGGTCGTTGGAGAATCTGACATTTGTCACATGAGCACTGTGGCCAACATATTTTCGGAATTTAGCACCTGGAATAGAAATAAGACAAAATGTTAAAGTCCAATGCTTAAAAAAATGCTCCCCTGGCAAGGAAAAAACCTGGAATGATTTAGATTTGTGTCTGTTTCTAGCTGTTTGTTTATTGCAGAGAAGTCTTCAGGTTGTGTCAAGAGAAATATTAAGAACAAGATAAGCTTGAATATAGAACACCTTTTAACACTTTTTGAGGCAAACTTATTTTAAACTAAGTTTCATTTTTTATTTCTTTTATTTTAATTTGTTCTATGTTTCAATCTCTCCTATAACTCTTTCTTAATATTTTCATAGAATGAAATTGATAATTTATTTGAGATATTACAAAATCATATCTTGTTCTTCAAGTGACAAACATTAACGCTGGTAAGTGGACTCACCTTTCTTAAGAGAGGGAAATTTGTAGACTTTGACCAGACCAAAATCATCACCAGTGACCACCACACCAGCTTCGAAGTTAGCATCTGCTGCATTGACATCATTGGTGTCGCCATATTTACCCCAAATGCCATTGACCTCTGGACCAATGACCCCAGTGAAGGTGAACCAATGGATGCTTGTTAACTCCTCTTCACTTGTTGTTTGTTTAAATGCTGAAGATACATTGAGAGAGTTTTTTTTTAATTGAAAAGCTGAACATTTAGGACCCAGTATATGTGATTAGTACTGCTTTGACTGTGTCTCAATATGTCGCAAAGGGTTTGTTAATATTGCAGATTGAAAAAAAAAAATGTATTTCAAGATTTAAAACAAACAAAACTTATCCAAAGACTGCTCAACTTACTCCTAGAACTTGGCAAAGCATTGTTCTCAGAGTTCAAAGGACTTTTTAAACCATACAAAAGTAATAATTTATTATTAACACATTACAAAATAATTCTTCAGAATATAATAGGTAAAGATGTTAATATTTTAAAAAATCAACAATACTGACAAACAAACGGAGATCAAGCTGTGGGCATCCACCATATAAGAATCTTTAAAGAAATGTGTGGAGTTTTCTCATCCATGAATGTGAGTGATGGAAGATCACTAGCACATCAGAATGGAAGATTAAGGTTTTCTAAATCCTTAAGGGTCGATCCATTGACTTTTCTGTCAAAAGAAAAAATCACCCATGAAGAGTTGAGATGCTGGATGGGTTGCCAACCATGACAGAAACATTGACTTGTCACTGGAGATACCATGAAGCTCATCTCTCAGGACAGTTGCCAACCATGACAGAAACATTGACTTGTCACTGAAGATACCGGGAAGCTCATCTCTCAGGACAGTTGCCAACCATGACAGAAACATTGACTTGTCACTGGAGATACCAGGAAACTCATCTCTCAGGACAGTTGCCAAGCATGACAGAAACATTGACTTGTCACTGGAGATACCAGGAAACTCATCTCTTAGGACAGTTGCCAACCATGACAGAAACAGTGACTTAGTCACTGGAGATACCGGGAAGCTCATCTCTCAGGACAGTTGCCAACCATGACAGAAACATTGACTTGTCACTGGAGATACCAGGAAACTCATCTCTCAGGACAGTTGCCAAGCATGACAGAAACATTGACTTGTCACTGGAGATACCAGGAAACTCATCTCTCAGGACATTTGCCAAGCATGACAGAAACATTGACTTGTAACTGGAGATACCAGGAAACTCATCTCTCAGGACAGTTGCCAAGCATGACAGAAACATTGACTTGTCACTGGAGATACCAGGAAACTCATCTCTCAGGACAGTTGCCAACCATGACAGAAACAGTGACTTGTCACTGGAGATACCAGGAAGCTCATCTCTCAGGACAGGATTAAGATGGAGGGGGGGAGGAAAAAATGAAACAGAAGACATAAAGAAACCTGGAGCAGAAAAACAGAGAAAGACAGGCAAGATCAGAAACCTGACCCTGAAGACAGCTCCCACATAAGCAGCCACTAGACGAAAGTGGTGCAGGTCTTTGACCTGCGCCTCATGTACAAGTCGGCCCATGAGAGCTGAATGAATGATTGTTAAAACACATTTAAAACAGACCTCAAATAAACTTATGACAAGGTGCTATTTTTACATACTCGGAATAAATTAATCTTTCATTAAATGTTTTCCGGTGGGTCTGTCCAGGATATTTGAGGGTTTTTTGGAGCAGCTGAAAATTAAAATCCTTTTCAATGACAAATAGTAATTTATACAACATGAGTGAGAAGTTAGCCCCAGGGTTGACATGGGAAACCTAAACTATTGCACCTCTCACCTGGTAACTTGAAAACAAGCCTCTCTCCCTTCCCATTGTTGACTTGAATATATTTGCTGTCCTGTGACCAGTCAATGTGAGTGATGAAGCTGGTGCTGCCCCCACATGTACCCAGTCTCTTATATCTCTGGTCTACAGCATAAACATCCACAAAATTGTCATTAGAGCCAATGGCTAGATATTTTCCGCAAGGTGAGAATTTCACTTCATGGCAGACTTCCTTCCTGTCCTTAATGTGAATCAGCTCAGAGAGATCTCTGTTAACATGTAAGTGAGCAATTAGTAGGCTTTGATAAATATTATAACAAATGAAATTTAAAAAAAAATTAACTTAAGTTAGTTAAAAAAACATTTCAATACATTGTTGTGGTTTAACGATTTAAGTATTATTTTCTTGACATTATTTTAAGCACCTTAGGAGATTAGATCTTTCTTATGGTTTGAATTTATTTTCAATTCTGCTAATTAACCAGGTCAAAATTTCAACACCTAAAATTACAGCAGTAAAATTATTTAACGCATAAGTTATTAATTAACAGCAAGATCTGCCACAAAGAATTAGATTGGGTTGAAATCCACAATGAAAGTTTTCCAAATGTATGTTAACATTTTATTTATCATCATTTTTACCAAAAAACACACAAATTTACCTCGCTCGAAGTACTGTGAATGAGCCGTCTGTCAAGCCAACAGCTATGTGCTGGCCATCTGGGTCAAATGCACAAGCTCTGATCTTTTGATCAAGTGAACCTTTTGATAGCAGCTCAAAGTTTGACATGTTCCACAACCTGTGAAATGAACAAGTCAAATTTTAAAATAACTGTGTGTGTAGAAACACCCATCCCACATTTTTTTTTCCTTCCCTAACTCATCAAAATATACCTTAGGAATGGAAAAATTTAACATCATTAAATGTGGGTGGAACTGTGGCATCACTTCCCATACCTCTTCATTCTGATAATGCTCACATGTCCAAAATTGAAAGAGAGTTAAACAATTTAAATTTGAGATGGAACATAACAATGTAACAACAGAAATATCCAAGTTGAAGCTATAGTGTTAGATCTCAAAGCTTAAAAAAATTATGAATTAGATCACTTTTAACAGAGATTAATTAATTGTTTATCCTCTTTGTCCTTAATCTGATCTGGAGGCAAAACTATTAAAAATTAAACAAATTACTGGGTTTTAAAAAAAAATCAACAACTAACCTAATTGTCTGGTCATCACTGCCCGTAACAAATAAGGGTTTCTTTGGGTGAACGGCCAGAGCCCACAGCTCTCCTTCAGCATGACCCTGAACTAAACATTTGGGTTTATCTTTGATCTTGACCTGAACTTCAAATATTTCCCCATCTTGAGTCCCAATGAGAAGCTGGTCCCCACGCCAACAGACAGCTCGAATGACCAGTCCTGAACATGATTAGAATAAGAAATATGCAAAGTTTTGACAAATTAACTTTTCATGATAATTTTGAATCAGTAGTTTCTTACAATTATTAATTAAAAGCATGGGGTGAACAGAGAATGATGTGCTCTCATTTCAATATCAACAATACACTGTGCAGGGATTGTTAATCAATAGGCCACAAATCTGTGCAGGTTTTCAATGCTAAGGAGGAGCTACATATAAAATACATTAAAATATGTAAACAAACTTAATTATAAATAAACAACATAAATTATCAAAATATATGTGCATTACAACATACACTTGTCTTTTTTCTAAAAAAATATGCATTTGAAATATCTTAAGACAACAATAAATAATTTAAATAATGTGAGTTCTGTGAGAAGAAAAAAATATATTAAATATTTATATGTACTAGATCTAATCATTTATTTAGAATCAATTGTTTTGTTATTAAAAATAACTTGACATACAAACTTATTTTTTTTAAATAAATCAAATTATTCTGAGAAGCAAGAAATATGGTTTAAATGCTAATCATTTACTTGAATTATCTTTATGACAAAATATAAGATTCAATGCAGCCCAGATGAATTATAAAAGGCCTAATCCTTAAACGTATATCTTTGAAGAAATTTTTTTTAATGGTCAGAATGCAAAAATCCCAAGATCATGTACTCTTGTACAGTCAAATTTTCATGAATTTTTTAAAATAAGTTTGTTTTTCTTCTTACGTACAAGCACGTAACAAAGCCTTTCTATTCAGTCAAAATTGTAATCATTATTTTTAAAAAAGCATACATAAATGAAAGAAAAAAAATGTATGCAAAGTGATTTTGTTGCTTTGATTATAATTACAAAAGTATAACTATCCCGTGAAAAAGCACAGAAATGACAACTTAACATAAAAAACAAGTTTTTTTATTCTGAGTTAGTCAAATAAAAAAAATGTAACAATGAAAGCTTAGCTCAAAAGGACTGTAATCCCTAACAATAAAACACACAAAGTCATAATCTTGGTTTAATCTAATATTAAAATCTAATATGAGGATTTTTTTGGAAACAAAAAAAGAAAGCAACCTTTAAAAGTTTTTTTTTAATAATTCGATTGTTTGCCATAAATTGCTGTCAGCAACTTACAAAAAAATACATTTTACATTGAGTTCTGAATATAAATACTTAAAATGGCCACTCATAAATAGTGAGCAACATTGTTTTATATGTTTTACAAAATTACATATCTACGATTTAAAAAAAAAGTAAGTTACTCTTAAGCTAACTTTTAATTTTTTTTTTTTATTTATTAAAAAAAGTGTAGACTAGAATTTATTTTTTAATTTTATTTCTCAGTTCCTGCCTGCACCAGTGACTTTACATTAAAAAAATATTTAAACAGCTATAAAACTGGGGCTCTTTGACCTAAAGATCATATTTGTGGAGTTGAAATTACACTGAACCTATTCTAAATGTACTTATTTAATGTCTCCCTTCACTGATCAAGGTTTGGGATCCATTATTAACCAAAGATTTAAGATTGTAAAAAAAATGTATTTAATTTTCAACATGAAAATTATAGAAAAGTGCAGACTGATCTTAATACAGACATAAAGAATTAACATTTTTACTAGAACTTAGTAAATCATTTGCTGTCAAAGTTTAATTAATCATTAAGATTAAGGTGCAGGTAACTTACTTTTACATAAGTGTATGATTAGCTATTGAATATTATTTATGCACAGATTAAGTCGCAGCAATACAATTATAATTTGAACCATCTGGATGAACTTGTTTTTATCAGTGATTTTTTTTATTTCACAGCTGAATTTTGACAAGCATTAAGTCCTACCTAACATGGCATGTAAGTTGCCATGTTACAACAGAACTAGATGCTTCAAAAATGAAGTTACAAAAAAATTCTCCCTTGCAGCTTCTCCAAGTAAATCTAATTTTATAATGATTCATAAGCAGGTTGTGCATTCTGATTATGGTCAAGGTAATTAACAATGATGAAGATGTTTAAACATTGAAATAGAGATAGCTTTCCTTTGGCCTTAATTTTGTTTATAATGAAAAAAGTTAATATATTTCTATTTGTAAATAAGAATATTATTTGGATAACTTTAAAAAAAAACTGCTACGCCTATCTAGTAACAGAACAATGAAAATAATATTGTTAAATATCATTAAACATAAATCTTTAAACAAAATTGAAATAATATCAACATGCAATACTTTTCTAAAAGAAATTATTAAAATTAATTCTAAAAAGTATGCCATTTAATCTAAGTAACAGGAAAAAATCATTTACCAGTATTAGGTGTTCCTGTCAGAACAAAGAGCAATTAAAATGTAACTGTTTCTTTTATTGTAAAATTACAAGGACAGTAAGACAACAGTTAAGATAGGCTTGAACTATAGAACACCTTTTGAGGCCAAATTCTTTTAAACTAAGTTTAATTTTTTTCCCTTCTTTTATTTTGTTTTGCTGTTTGTCCTCCCAATCCTTTGTTGACCTGTCATTTGATAGTGGTGCTGGCAGTGAGAAATTTAACACTGTTAACATAGACTGGATTCTGGTGAGTATCATGCTATCTTTGGATTATTTTTTTTTTTTACAAGATTTTTATTTATTTTTTTGTAACATTTGCAATGATAAGACCAACTCTTAACTAGCCTTTCTATCAAGATTAGATTTTATGTTAATGATAAATGATTCCTGCAGATTTTCTTTTTTCACAGTCATGATTTTAATCAAATTTTTTCCACTGTTTTCATTTATGTCAAACAATTTGTTGGTTTGGCTTAAATCTTGTAATCAATTTTTTACCCACTTGCCCACTTTCACCATAATAATTGTTTTAATGCTCTTTAGGCATACATATTTTTTTTTTAGTGAAAATGTGTTCCTTTTGTATATTCATTAACTAGTAATAAAAGTTACTTTTAAAGATTAATATTTCTGTTATGGGCAGCTGCTCATGTGATCTACACAAGAAGTCAGGTGGCAATTCTCAAAAGTTCAAAGTGTGACCCCCAACCAGGACATTTATTCGTTGAACATTATCTTAAAGTTTAACCATTAAAAGGCTATAGCTTTAAAAATAAATTTAAAAAAAAATAATATTATACTTAAATTGCAAAGTGACCTGTGTATCCAACACTGGAGTTAGCAATGTTGACTGATGTGATCTGCTTGAAGTCTAAGTCCCAAAGTTTGACTACTCCATCTTTTCCACCAGTTGCAAAACCTTCACCAGTCATGTCTAGGGTATAAATGGGGCCCTTGGAAAGAGGAAAAGGGGGAACAAGCAAATAAAAAAACAATTAAGAGTAAGTTTTAAATAAACGCTATTATTTTTATTGTTCTGAGCTAATCTTCTTGTTTTCTTAGTGGTAAAAGGATCAGTATTATTAGGATCTTTTATTAAATGTTAAGTGAAAACTTTGCCCCCCAATAAATTTCTTTTCAAAAATATCTAATTAATATTCCCCAATTACTCTGACAAAACCTAAATTTGAAACTGTTACTAATAAGATTCAATATGAAAATGTGTGGAAGAATATCCTTACAGCTATGCATCAATTGGAACCTTACAAGACAATGATAATTTATTAACTTGATTATCAAATTGGCAAATAATTTAAAATAACATTAAAAAAATTGTCTAATAATGAAGAGTCTCAAAAAGTAACAATATCTAAAGTAATCAAGCTAATGCTTGCAATCCCTAAATTAAATTCGTACACTGACACTGAACTTATTATCTGTTTCTTCAAATTATAAAATATATTAAGAGTTCATGTGATAATGAAATGTCATCAGGGTAAAACATCTTTCTACATAACAGCACTTACATTGTGGATTGCAGATACAACTCTGTCAAGGGTATTTTCTTTCCAAATGTACACGTCCCCACTCAGTGTCCCTGAGAACGTTGTATTTTCAGGCCCAAAAGCAAGGCACAGCATTGTCTGAATCTCTCCAGTTTTACTGAAAATTCCCTTTGTTGGAGTCAAGGCATTGCCACATAGAGACCAAAACACTAAATGCTTGACGCCAGCTGAGACAAGCACATTTTCTTTGAGGGGGTTGAACTGTATGTCAAATATCTGAAATTATAAATTAATATTTTCCCCACTTACTTAGTAGTGTAAAAATTTCCTAATTTCATAAGGGATTATTTTAAAGTTTATAGTTTGGGAAGTATGGCAAAGGTTGGACAGTAAAAATCAATTTTTTCTGGATTGCACAAAAAAGCAGAATGTCTTGCTCACTTATAAATAGAACATAAGTAATCGACATGTCAGTCTCAGTTAAGTGGCTTCAAGAAGATAAGTTGTTTTAAAAGTTAAAATCAGTTCAAGACCCATTTACTTTCCACATTTATTTCAGTTTAAATTATAACAAAATTACCCACAAATAAATCATTGAATAGACCCTGGGTTATCTAAAATGATCTTAGGGAAAGCTGCCATGGAAATTCTGGAATTGAGCATCATGCTATGTGTCAACCTCAAGTCCAAGTTATTTACAAATTTAAGAAAAGTAGTTTGCATTCTTGTTTTTCATTGGACTCTTGGTCTCTGGTGAAACAATGGTGTAAAAAAAAAAAAAAGTACTAGTTACATGCAGAGTACAAATTTAGCATAAATATAATAATTTGCTATACAGGAACAATCTATGCAGTGTATACCTTTTCAACCTGTGTAGTGAGAGTGCTAATAATATTTCCTTTACGCCAGTCCCAAACATTGATTACTGGTGCTTCAAGACCAACAGACACTATGCGCTAAAAGAATTGAAATGAAATTGTCTATGACATAAACATGATAATAAAACAAACAAGGTACTGCACAAAATATTGCAGTCACTGAATTTTTTGAAAAAACAATAAATGTATATGAAAATTATAAAAGAGATCACTATTTGGAGAATTTTGGAATTTTGATTTAGTAAGATAGCGCTCTTAAATAATATTGAATCAAGAGTTTTAAAATACTTTTGAACAAACGAAACAATTAGTATATGAACCCTTTTTACAAATATGTTTCTATAGTATAATATAAACTAAATTCCTTTAAAATGTTGTGATTGAAATGTTTATTATATATTTCATTTACTTTGCCTTCCTTATCAAATCCAAGAGATGCAACTCCATCTTTATGACCACCTTTAAGAATGGACAAAGTATCTGTACTTGCAGAGTCCCATACACAAATATATGAGTCTAAACCAATCTGACCAGTAGCAACTGTTGTTCTATCAGGATGCAAAGCCAAACTGTAATGTAAAATTTTCATGATTAGAAAAAATACAAACTATTCCTGCAGTAAAAATGCATAGTTAGGGGAGGTGAGATATAAAAGAGGGACATCAGTACTATGGTACATTTTGTGATGTCTATCCACCCATATTTAAAATGTTTTGTTTTAAAATATATATTTAATAATTGATAAAAGAGAATATGTTTTTGGTTTAATTTTTGTGGTTATTTCTCTCATTTTGCAGTTTTACAAGTATTTCCGTTTCCCCACTATCTTTATAAATCTAAAATATAAATTAAAGATAATCTGTTTTGGGATAGCTATACACTAACAGAATGCTAATTTATTGGACATTCAAAATATTTAAATCATACAATAAAGTTGTGATATTTTAAAAAATTTAAGTGACTTTTTTTTTGCATAGCTTGTATAATTGTCCCACACTAAACTGAGGGAGGTTCAACTTTTGTGATTTTTCACACACATTTAAATCCCACTTTCAAAATTTTTTAAATTTTGTTTTAACTCTACAGTCACTTGATATTTTGTTTCAAAGTAAAAGTGTAAATTTGTAATAGAAAATTTAATGGGTCCAATTACCCTAGGCTCCCCATCTTTTCTTTTAAATTTCACAAGCTAAATGCAATTGTAATTATCCCTGCAAACTCTTGTCAAAATCTTTACATTTTATTGATTAGTTATCAGGCTATATTATTGAGGTAACTGTTTAACCTTGTTTTTTAAATGTGAAAAATTTCCTTCAGTTTATTTTTTTAACACTAATGTCATATTTCTTAAGTATGAGATTTATCAATTTTTCATAGATCTGTACTTATGATAAAGAAAACACAAATTATGCCTATAGTTATAGCTTGAGCAACTATATAAAAAGTAACTGCATTTGTTTCTTTTTTAATCTTTATTTATTTGGTGAATTATGCAAAGACCAATGGTGGATTGATTGGTAATTTGTACCAGAAATCTATCTAGATACAATGCCGATAGCATTTCAGAAAAAAATCTATTTCACTATTAGGAAAGGTCAGAATCAGGTACTCAATCAATAACTAAAATATGGAAGTCATTATTAGGTTTCACTGTAACTTTCATTCAGAGACACTCTTTATATTAAAAATACTTGATGAAGATCTATTTAAATAAATTAAAAATTAGTGAAAGTGAATCACTCCACAAACCAGTCAATGATGGTAGATCATGCAATCAATTGTAACTATTGTAACCTTATTTTCTTATTCAATATTGCTTAGCCATATGAATTTTCAAATATAATTCAGAAATAGTAAAAATTTTATAATTCCTTTTATTTATTAGACTATCAGAGCTTGTAAATGTAATTAAGCTTAGTGTTTGTTTTGTTTTAAAGTTAATTTAAAGTAAATTTAAAAATTGTATTTGAATTTTTAATTTCATTCAGCTCTTCATTTAACTGCTTTAAAATTAAATTAAACAAATGGGCCTTCAGCCATGAGATTTTATTTATCAAAATTATTGACATTGATTATGCTTTATAAATTAATATCATACCGGTACTGACATACTCTGCTAGAATTTTCACAAGTTAAAACTTGTCTTTAACTTTAAGTTAAACAATGTTTTGAACGCTGTAAAAATAATAAAACGTTAAGTATAGTATAGGGGGTTGAACTTATTTAAATAATTAAAACGCATTTAAGGATTTGCTTTTTAAAATATAAACCCTTATAACGGGACATATATACTGCAAAAAACAAACAAGAAGCATGCAATCATCGAACCTGATGATATCATCGTTATGTCCGAGGAAAAACCTCTGTTTATGCTCACGGGCACTATAAACAATGCCTACGCCGGCAACGAAATAGACGATGTCTTTATTGGCAGTATAATAAAGATTATTTCTGCATTGATGGCCTCTATATCCATAAACCCACTCAAGGCGTAATCTACAATCAGGGGCTGTTTTGTCCGCCATGATACAACAACCTGCAAAGCTGAAAACGTTGCCGTAGAAACTTGTTCTAATCCGTTCGCATTTTAGCGCTTTGCCAAATAAATAATCCCTTACAGAGTAGAATACTGCACGTAAATGGAATGTAAATTCGATCAATAACTTGCTTGCTGACTTGATTCTATAACTACTAAAAGAAGGATCTTAAAATCAATCAGGTAGCAATATTTTTCTTCGGGATCACGTCATTATTAGTCGTCGTTACACTTTTCTTTTTAAAAAATAAGGCAAAGCGTTAAAAGTTAAAACAATGCGTTAAAGTTTAAAACAATGTTAATTGGCATTTTTAGAATTTGTTAAGCTATATTATATTTTGAGCTATTAATATTTACTATTACTCGTGGACAGTTTTGGTTGGGGCCATCCATAAATGACAAAACGCAACTTTAAAAAGTGTCACGGATTAGTAATTACGTGTGGAAAAAGTGTGACAAAGTTGTGACAGTGAGAGGAAAGAGTGGCGGGGTAAAACTCGGCCAACACAGCGTGACGGCATGCATGGATGGCTCTTTAAAATGGGGGAGGAGGTTAATATGCAAAATGAATGCATCAATGTTCAATATACCGGTAGCCTAGATTTTTCTAAAGGGGAGGTGGGGATGGGGGCTGGGCATTTAAAACAAAAGAGGACAGTACCACGATTATTTTTAAAATACGGGTCGCAGTTGTTGTTGTTCGTCCGTCAAAATCGACTAGGACCATAGAGTCATCCGGTTAGCGGGCAGGGTGGGTTATGGTGAGCTCGTAGGTGGCTTGCTAGGCCGATCCTTGCCCTGAAAAAATCTCTGACACCGCGGGCAGGGGATAGTTGCTGCAGTCAGTGATCTACTATTCCTCTTTCGGGCAAGGCTGCGTGTCTCAGCTGTGGGTATCCTACTGGCTTCATGAGATTTAGGCTCTTTCTTGACAGCTGCTCTCCAACTGGCTCTGCCCTGGGCTGTCTGCACCCATTCAGTAGGGTTGATGCTGAAGGCCTTTAGGCCACTTTCATGGAGTTTTTGTAACGCTTTTTTCGGCCTCCTTGGGAGCGCTTGCCTATCGTGAGTTCTCTGAAGAAAATCTGTTTTGGGAGTCCGTGGTCTTCCATACGGGCTACGTGTCCCATCCAGCGGAGTTGATATTGCATCAAGATGGTGAAAATACTAGGTAGGTTCGCTCTAGCGAAGACATCTTTGTCAGGAACTTTGTCTTGCCACCTGATGCCGAGGAGTTTCCTTAGGCAGGTTGTGTGAAAATGGTTCAGCTTCTTGGCGTGACGCTGGTAGACTGTCCACGTTTCACTGCCGTAGGGCAATGTCGAGAGGACTGCTGCGCTATAGACCTTGATCTTCGTTTCTCGTCTGATACCTCTCCTGTCCGAAACAGTGCTGCGGAGCTGTCCACCTATGATGATGTTTGTTTCAACGTAGGGCTTAATGGAAGCTGGCTGATACATCACCTCAGTCTTCTGAGTGTTGATTGTGAGGCCAAAGTTGTTGCAGGCCTCAGAGAAGACATCAACGCTGTGTTGCATGACGGCCTCCGAAGCAGCGCTGAGGGCCCAATCGTTGATGGCATTATGTTTGACCTTGGTTTTAGCTTGAAGCCTCCATAGGTTGAAAACTGATCCATCATTACGAAACCGGATTGACAAGCCCGTGGTGGGTCGCAGTAGCACCACTTTGTAAACATACATTAAATTCTTCTTATTACTGGTGCCCGTCCTTCGCATGCGAAGTTGACCAAAGCTATATTCAACTGTGAGTACGCAGGCAGCCTGCCAGTCCCATTTGTGCCTATAAAGCTTTCCCGTACGAAGGACACACGATTGTTTCGGCAAGAGCCTTGTACTTCTGTGTGAGGTGTGTTGACTCTCTGTGGAATGTACTCCAATGCATAGTGCTTCTCAACTAGCAATTTTTATGAGGCGTGTTGATGTCCATTTTAAAAAGACAGAAGAATTAGTGGCACTGTATCCACTTAACCACTTAAGGACACTACTATGACTGGAGATTTTTTAAAGGCAATTACATTGAATCGCTTTTCGTTACAACTTAACAACTTATCGGGCTTAACAACGGATGGGGCACCATCATTAGTTGGGAAACACGGGTGTTTAGTAAAATTGATTGAAACTGAGGCTTCCAAATTCGGTAATACTTAAATGTTACATTTTCATTGCATTATTCATCATTATTATACATTATGTTCAAAGTCCCTGAAAATGGCCCATGTCATGAAAGTGGTCGTCAAAATTGGGATCTTCATTAAGTCGAACGGGTTGAATTTCTATAAAGTCTTTGGACTTGTTATAATGACGCTACATTTTATGCAGAAGTAAGATGGCTGACCCATGCAAAAATGTTGAAAAAGAGTGTTTGATTTGCAGCAAGAAACACAATAATTCTTTGCAAGCAGGTCAATAAGTATCTCAGAGTTTGAAGACAATGAGTTTGACGTAAATACTCGTCTACAAGGAAAAGATCAATTAATTAATCAGATGTATGATCATATTTCTGCATTTTTAAATGAAAGTTGGTCTTTGGGAACAAAATTGAAGACAAAAAACTTAACTCGCTTTCCTATACTGTCATTGCAACCAGACGTCACACATGAGGCGGCGGATAAATACGCTTCTTTGATATCTGACTTAAACCTCAAATTTGAAAACCAATTTCACGATTTTTAAAAACATCATGTGCTTTTTGTGCATATGCAACGCCAATCGCAGTAGACGTGAATTTATTACCAGGAAAATTACAAATGGAATATTGTGAAATGTGTTGTGATTCGCTTTTAAAGGGGAGCTTCCATCAAGTTTGTTTGGAAGAGTTCTATAAAACGTATTTGGACAAGGGTAAATATCCTGCGTTTTACAAACATGCTCTGTCCATGGTTTTGCTATTTGGAAACACGTATGCGTGTGAACGGCCCTTTAGTTGTATGAAGGACATTAAATCACAAGTGAGAAGACGAATCACTGATGTTTATTTTGAAAACTGTTTGCGTGCAGCAACAACATCAATCGAAATCATTTTGGTGCACTTAGTTCTGAGAAACAAAGTCAGATGTCTCACGTTTAAATATTTTTAAATTGTCCAATAAATATGTTTGAATCTCAGTCATGTTTTATTTTCTTTAAAAAAAAAAAATGTCCCTATTTGTTGTTGTGTGTTTGTTTACATTAAACCAGGCAAAAGTTTGACCACGATCTCTCCTAATGGGAAGCGACGATGTGGTCGAAGCTGTAGCACGCTCGCTTATTTACTTTAATTTTGAAAAAAAAAAATTAGGTACGTGGCCCGGCACGAAATATTATTTCTGAAAATTGACCCACCTGCTGAAAAGGTTGTCCACAACTTTTTTAGACCGTCCGAAAAGCATTTTTTTTCTGCCCACCAGCTGAGAATTTCTCACTGAAGTGTTGACCAAACATTGGTCATTTGGCTTGGGAAGTCTACTGTCTGGCATTCTTGCGACACGTCCTATGCCCATATGGCTTTGTCCTTTTTGTAGGAGCATGTGGGTGCTGATACAATGAGCCCGTTGTAGGACCTCTGTATCATGCACTTCGTCCTGCCACCTTATGCCAAGAAGTATACGTAGACATCGTAGGTGGAGATGGTTTAGTTGTCTTAGCAAATCTGCTGTACACTGTGCCAGTCTCACGAGCATATTGAAGAGATGTTAATACGATTTCCCTTTATACTATATACTTTCGGCTTAGTGACAAGACTGAAACCCCTTTGCTCAAAAAGGAAAAAAATACAGAGATCTTGGACCAGCCAGCTCCAAGAAATGCTTACAATTACAAAGAACCTAACATAATCAGTGAAAGTAAAGCATCTCCAAACATTGGAAAAATTCAGCTATTTGGGTAGCATCCTCTCCAGGTCAGTAACAATAGAAGATGAGATCAACAACTGAAGTTTCAAAGCAAATATTTCATTCACTCCACAAGAATGTCTTTATTTCAAGTGTAGTTTTATTACTTCAGTACGAAATTGTAGCATTCCATTTAAAATATTTAATGTGTTCAGCATACCGATAAAACTGAATTCCTCTGTGTTCATCACTACCGGCGGGACACCACCTTGTCTTTCACTCTTTATCTTACACTTATTTGCTTCATTTTTCTTTTGGGATTTGGTGGATGGGCGTATGGTGGAAGTATAATAAACTATAAAATATTAGCGCCCCCCCCCCACGAAATCATTAGCTACCCTATAAATATTTTAAAGTTACCTTCCCCTACTTAAATGATCCCCGTTATAATTTATAGAGAATTCAAAAGCTAACCAACCATTCATTTGATAAAGTTTTAAAACATAAAAAAACTAATTCTCAGGATTTTATAATGACCCATACCTAATGCTGCAAGATTCTATACTAATAGTATTACCGGGTACTATAACATATACGATACCTGTACTGTATCTCTCTTTATTATTCTGCACCATGTTTTATTTTGGTTTCCCATGGCTTCATTTTACTGAGTAGGTCCTTCTTTTCTAAGTTTCTTGGATGTAGTAAGCTTGATGGCATATTTCTACGGAACATGACCGATCCATCTGCAACAAAGTTCCTGCATAGTTTATGCAATGCTTTTTGTACCCGGGTACTCTAAATCAGTGGTTCTCAAACTTGTTTTTTAAAATATTTCTTGCCAAAATATTTCAATCAAAAAACGACTACAAAACATTTCACCGCAAACATGTTGACACCCCTATCACATCAATTAACTGTTCTTGAATAAAATTGCCCTCCAAAGTTAGCTCACTAATGAAGCTTACAAAGGGATTAGTGATAAAGCAATAGGATTTTTAAAAATTCTTATAGATCATGAAAATAACGAGAAATGTCTTCGCTAAGAATTGATGCATGTTTAATCACATCAAGTGTATTATCAACGTGCTCCTTTTTCATAAATATATGTGTTTAGCTGTGGAAATGGGGGAACATTTCTCTTCTTCTAGCTTTATTGCTTTCAAATATGTTGACTCTTTATGTCAGGGATATAAGAAAACTGACAGAGAATTCAGAGTTCGTGTCC